GGACATGGGATTATCCCAGATAAATAGTGATACATCAGACCTTAGTAAATCCAGTCAATTACATGTCACATTCACATGATATCGGCATGGTCTGACTTTTGTGTTTTTGTGTCAGTTTTGACAGAATAAAAAATTTAAAATGTTAAAGTTTATTGTAAAGGTTGTTTTAATTTTGACTTATTTAGCTCAATGCTATTTTAACTAAAAGCTGATTTTAAGGTAATTGACATCAAATAATGTGTCTCAAAGAAAAGTCAAGGTTTTAAAACTGCCAACATTTTCTGTTATACTATTTCTACGGTATATGTAAGTTTTTTTCTTAACGTTTTTTATTTTTATTTTTATTTTTATTTTTTTTATTTCATTTTATTTTGTTTTATTTTATTTTATTTTTTTGTTTTGTTTTCATTTGTTTTGTTTTTTAGGACGACAGTATCTCCAGCAGAAAATAAATCCAAAGGGGCTGTTTTAAACTGTAAAGAAATCTGTGTTCTTGAAGATGACAGCAGAAGTCAATGATCCATATGAATTATTTAGCCTGACACGTTTACTGTTCCAAAATATTTGAAATGTTTCCTAAAGTAAATTGTATTGTGTTCAAAGGGGGAAAAGCTTTTTGTTTTTGTTTTTTTAATTATTTAATTATTTCAAAAAAGAAAATATTTCAGAGCAGTAATCACATTACCGTGAAACTGATATTTTTATCCAAGCTTATCATACTTTCAGAATCTTATACCGGCCCATGTCTAGGTGGTGATCGTTGATCCTCTTTAATTTCACGTCAAGTAAAAGTTTCAGGCATTCTCTCCAAATATGAGGTGGGGAAAAATTCAAGTTCTGAGCAGTCTGAAATGCAGAATTTAAAATGACTAAGTTACAAAATGGGAAGTAAGATTGTGTCAGTACAACAGGGTCTGCATGTCAGTTTAAGAAGGTCCCAGCTGTTCGATATTCCCTGTCCATATGCTTAAGAGAGAGAGAGAGAGAGTGAAAAAGTAGAGGAAATCTTGCATCATTTTTGTCACATTCTCCTCATGCCTTCAGTTCATCCTCCGTTTGACCTCTGCCTGGCTTCGTTTCTCTCTGTTGTTGATGCTACGTGAGTCTGTTATCTGTGCCAAATGACTGTTGTTTTCTTTGGTATTCTAGTATTTAGGATCCAGCATCATGTGTTTCTTTATTGACAAAGCACAGTCCAAATCTTTCATATATTTTGTACATTTTATATTGATCTTATAAATATAATTTAGTACATGATCTTACTTGAGAACAGTGGCACCAGCTATGTGTTGTGTTAAGATTCTTATGTGCCCATTTGACAGCTTCAGTTAACATTCGCAGTGTCTTGAGCTTGACTTAGGAGATGCAGATGTAAATACACTCTGACAGAACAGATTGTTCAATCTGAACAAACACTTTATTTACAAAAACAGTATCATCTGTAATAATTATAACAGTATGTTTATCCCCATTCGTACAGTATTTTTTTCTCTGGGATTATAAAATATTTTCACCATTTAAAGGGGGTAGTTGGAAATTGTACAGTCGTCTGAATCAGGAATGTCTGTTTTTCTTTCATATCCCTGGCTTATTTACTTACTGTTTGTTCTTTTGTCAAACACCAAGGTTGTGTGGTGACATAATTGCCATTTGTATCCATATCTCTGAGCTTCCACAGGAGATTAAAAGTTGTTTTGTAAAGGCCTTTTGGTCACCGCAATGCACCATATGGTTTCACTTTGAGGTAATCAGAAAAGAAGAAATCGTGCGTATTAAAAATGGACATTACGTTATAGAAGTGGTAGAAATGTATTGCGTATACTCTGCAATTTAACTGCTGCCACCTCCAAATGCGTAGTTCGGCACCAAATTATAGGACTTGAGCTCCAAAACAGCTCTACAAACATCCTGTTTATTTATTTTATGTTTTCTCTGTTATGTGGAGTCCAACCTATTGTATTTTAATAACATATTCTACACATACCCCAAACATAAATCTCTTACATAACAAGTGTCAAAACCAGTTCCTGAAGGACCACAGCTCTGCACAGTTTAGTTTCTACCCTAATTAAACACCTGATCAAACTAATTAAGTCCTTCAGGCTTGTTTGAAACCTACAGGTAAGTATGTTGAAGCAGGGTTGGAACTAAACTGTGCAGAGCTGCGGCCCTTCGGGAACTGGATTTGACACATGTGCCTTACATTAACCTATTGTGTTTTAGTAATGTCTACACCTACCCCAACTCGATACCTACCCTTTACAATATGCAAAAACAGTAATTATTGTTGTACAGTGACATAAGAATGATATTATGTGGGTCTTAACGCCCCAGTATATTGATTGGGACTCTATACTGCTCAGTGAGCACCATCTTTCAGATGAGATGTTAAACCGAGGTCCTGACTTTCTGGGGTCGTTAAAATTCCCAAATTTGCTCACTGGCCTCTGTCCATCATGACCTCCTAACCATCCCCATATCATAATTGGCTTCACTACCTTGTGTCCTTTCTCCACAAATCAGCTAGTGTATGGTGTGCAGTCTGCTGTCGCATCATCCAGGTGGATGCTGCACACTAGTGGTGGATATGGTGATTTTTAGCCTACTCATCATTTAAATCATTTAGTCTTAATGTAACCTAATCACATAATTTGTATTACTTTCTTCCTTTAAAAGGTCTATGGAAGGTTCATTCATTTGTTTGATCTTCGTAATCACTTATTGACTATAGAACTCAAAAGACATCAAGGATGTAATGGGATTGGTTATGGTTAACATGTAAACTAATTCACCTGTTACACTTTCTCATTTGACAACTCCTCCATCTACAAATTTCAGACCATCTCTGAGATATAAATATTACTTTGACAAACACTGGCTAAAAGAATACTTAATAATTATAACATTGAAAAAAATGTAAAACAGAGTGTATAATAAAACGTGCACTAAAATTAGACTTGAATTGAATCATTAGTAAACTTACACATATGGATCTGAGTGTTTGGTGATCTCTGTGTGTGTGTTTCCTTTCAGTTTTTGCTATATATAGTCTGCTTGAACATGTCGTAATTGTGGGTCTCCCTGCCCAGTTCCTTTTGCATAGACATCTATGAATAATTCATGCTTCCTCATAGAAATCCCTCTTAATCGTTCAGTTTAAGGACCATATCAATACAATGTCAGAGGTCATTAAGCTGTCTTTGATATATGGACAGACATCCATTGCAGAGTGGTAACAACAGTGTCTCCTATTTGTCTCTTTTACTCTTTGCCTTTTTATTTTACATCTGTTTGTGTCAATCCAAACGTAAAATCTAACAATAAAGTGCTGTAATTTTATATAATGCACCACACACTCTTTTCACAGTAATAACCAGTTGTGTTCATTATAAATTTGTGGTTCAGTCCTTTTGCAATCAAATGTATACCTATGTCATGAATAATGATGAAGGTCTTAGTGTTGTTACATCTTCAATAATTGCTTGCTGTTGATAAAAAAAACTGTGTAACCAAAGCCTACCTCTGCTTTGAGAAAGCTCATTAAATTGTTGCGCATCACTCAGCCAGGAGCAGCTGTTTGAGAAAGCAAACTCAGTCAAGAATCTGTCAAGTTATTTCAAGAGGAAAGCTGTTTTTCTTCTGCACACTTCTTTTCCCTGAGTGAACACCAAGTAATGAAGCCTAAGATGCTGTCGTTTTTGTGAACATATGGGGAAAGACACAATATTGAAAGCTTTTTCCAGTAACCGTCCTAACTGAATGCAATACATTTTCTGCAAGTTAATTTTTTTTGTTGACTTTAATTTATCGCACCTCTTTGACAAGCAGTTTTTAAGTTCCTGTTTGAAAGACAAAAAATGTCATTAAATAGTGTTAAATTTAGTTTATCTTAATTTTCTTGAAATCTTAGAAGTTAAAAATGGCAATTTGGAGAAAAATATTTTGTGGAAACCATACAATTAAGCCATATAAAACACTCTTTTATTTGTCATGTATCTCGAATTGTATCTTCAAAAATAGTATAATTTGCTGATTGAACTTTCTAAGGCAAGAAAGGCATTGCTCTTTTAAAATCTGTCTTTCATGGCAGTACATTAAAAGGTGTTTGTCAAACTGGTTTGCCATGCTCAAGTAGGATATGAGACTGGGATCACCAAATTTGTTCCTGGAGGTCCATTGTCCTGCAGATTTTAGCTCCAAACCCACCTGAATAAGCTAATCAAGGTCTTACTAGGTATACTTGAAACATCATGGCAGGTGTGTTGAGGCAAGTTGGAGCTAAACCCTGCCAGGGCACCAGACCTCCAGAAATGAGATTGGTGACCCCTGGTATAAAACAATGTTACCCATATTGTTAATTCTTATTAATAGTCTTGGAAGTATGCTGACCGCATTCCTCATGTCTTGTCATAGTCTAATGTATGATGTAGATGGGGAAAATCATCTTCTAAGCTATATTCATCCTATAAGCTAAAAACAAAGCTGAAGATATAAGTCCAATCTCAAAGTATGTGTGTGTGTGTGTGTGTGTGTGTGTGTGTGTGTGTGTGTGTGTGTGTGTGTGTGTGTGTGTGTGTGTGTGTGTGTGTGTGTGTTTGCGTGTTTGCGTGCGTGCGTGCGTGCGTGCGTGCGTGCGTGCGTGCGTGCGTGCGTGCGTGTGTGTGTGTGTGTACAAAAACCATAATTGGCTTCGAAGACGATTTTAAAAAAGCTATTTCTTTGTGTTTATACATGTATAAATTGTCTTTAGAGTTAGTTTTCTGTTTTGTCCTGACTATCAATCTTAAGATTGGCAATTTATTAAGAAGCATGTTTTGTTGTTAATTAGAATATTGTAAACATGAATATCTTGAATTCTCATTTTTAGCAGTTTGGAGTCAGGAATACTGATGAATCCAAAAAGGAATCACATAAGACGATGTTTGGCAATAGTTGTAGCTTTCCCTGCACTTTTTATTCTAACAACTGACCAGTTGTTTTATGTGTCTGTGTCTTTTCAGGGCCAGTGAAGTTCTAACATGTGACAAGCTGAAGACTGGAGACTAATAGATCTTCAAGAATTATTTACATGTCAGCAGAGAAAGTGCCTCAAAAGCAATTTGAAACATTTTTTGTCAAGCTCCATTGCCAGGCATCAGACCAAAAGACACACAATGATGAAGTTCACCAAGGCTGTTTGTGAACAGGAGAGGGGACGTTTAGCAAACAACCAGCATTCACATATATGGCGGCTGCACCATGGCACTGTTTAATTGTGCCTTTGTCTTTTAAGCACACTGTCCGGTATCTTACATTAATTATGGCATAATATAGTTAGCCCCCTAAAGCAAGAATAAAGACTTTTTTTCCTATCGGAAAGGTATTGATGCGATGATGTTTATCAGATTGGTGGTCAAAGAACCATTCCCATTGTGTCCTTAAGGCCTTCACCCCACATCCTATGGAGGCAGAGGAAAAGCAGTCTGCCGATGGGGAGCAGTCTGGTCAACAACCGCAGCCATCATCAAAGTCTTTGTTAGCAGCACAGCTGCCTCAGTTACAGCAACAAGCTACCTCGCAATCTGTCCATGGATCACATGGCCGCCTTCAACACAGGCAGCCGAAACGCTGTGAAATGCTCCAAAGGCAGAAGCAGCGACATCAGTCACAGGCGAGTGGGTCATCTTGGCAGCTCTCAGAAATACCTGGTCCTTCAAGAGGCAGCTGTTCTGCCCTGGGAGATCCATCTCCCCAATCTCACAATGTCCATCAAACTCAATCTATGCCCAATGTCGAAGTACAGGAAGGCACCCCATGTAGACAAGAGCGCAAACCCCAAAAACCAGGGAAATATGTGTGCACATACTGCGGCCGACCTTGTGCAAAACCTAGCGTCCTGCAAAAACATATCCGATCCCACACAGGAGAGAGGCCCTATCCATGTGTCCCATGTGGCTTTTCCTTCAAGACCAAAAGCAACCTGTACAAACATCGCAAATCTCATGCACACCGAATAAAAGCAGGCATGGCTTCAAGTCGTGAGGAAACAAGTTTTATTGGGCCAGAAGGTGCAGTCTTGGGTGAAGAACAAGAAGAGGGTACGGAGGGAGAGAGTACAGGTTCTGAGGATGAGACAGGGCAGCACCAACCATCTACCTCACAAGGCAGACCAACTCTGAAAAAAAGCTGCAAAGTGGAATTGTCATTCATAGAGGAGGGACCCCAAACTGAGGATTCACAGGCAGTCAAGCAAAGGTTAGCAATGAGGCTAAGTGAGAGAAAACGTGCGCCCAGAACATCTTCAGATGATACACGATCCTCATTGGGTCCTGGCAGTAAGGGGAGCACAGAATCCGGATATTTTTCCAGTTCTGGGAGTGCTGAGCTCTCCCAAGTGAGCCCACCAAATGCCAGTGCTAAAACATATGCTGAGATAATTCTAGGAAAGTATGGACGACTAGGACAACAGCAACGAATTCCACATCAACAACTGCAGTTATCATCATCATCTTCAGGTCAACAAGAAAAATCAATCCCTTTCACCGTTCCCAAGACACAAGTCATTGAGCATATAACAAAGTTAATCACTATAAATGAAGCCGTGGTGGATACAAGTGAAATTGATAGTGTCAAACCAAGACGTTCCTCGCTCTCTAGAAGAAGCAGCATTGAGTCTGTTAAGTTCTCTTCACCCAAAGAACATTGTGTTTTTGAACCAAAAGCAGAAGCCCCTGGCTCTTGTGGCTCTGCTGTTCAACTTATTTCTGGTAGTTTTGCTGGCGAATTAACTGGTTCGTATTTGACAGAAGCAGAAAAATTGGCTGGTCAGAGCTCTAGTGCTTTTCTCTACAGGAGTCAATCAGTGCCATCTTCTGGTAAATCTTCAGATACGACATCACACAGCTTTCGTCTCAGTCATTCCTTTGATGATCAGCAGGCCATAGCAGCTGAAATGAGAATTGGGCCCCATCAACGAATGTTGCGACGCCAGCCTGCTATTGAGATGCCGGTTGGAGCGGAGCTCATTATAGAGGATGCAGGCCCTTCATCTTCAAGTTTAAAAAAAACTGAACCAGGAATAAAGCGAGAAAGGGAAATTTTCTTATATGAGTGTGAAATGTGTGGAAGTCATTTAAAGAATCAAGACTCTTTTGCTGCACACAGACTAGCATGCATGAGTAAATCTTTACATAGTTTTCAAAGTGAAGAAGGAAGTGCTTTAATTGAAAACCAGCCACAGATCATGAGCTACAAGTTCAAAGCTATGGCCATGGCTGTTCGCAAGCGTAAAAAGAAAGAGGAGAGTCTTGAGGAAGACCCCCCCAGTCCAGGTCCAACCGCTGTGTCATTCTGCTCTAAGCCTCTGTCTATGCCAGGTTGTAGTGATAATCAGGGTGCATCTTGTGGCCTTTCACCAAGTGAGCTAGAAAGAAGGGGTTCCTGTAAAGAAATTTCTGTCATCCAACATACCAGATCATTTGAAAAACAGGAAAGCATCCCTATGACAAACCAGGAAGAAGAGCCAGAACATGAGCCATCACAGGAGCCAAAACCAACCTCTACTTCCCGGTTAATTCGTCAATCCAACATTCAAGTTCCAGAAATTCTTGTTACAGAGGAGCCAGATTCAGAGATGTTATCTCAACCAGTAAGCACCTCTCTAGAATCTGAGAAAGTGGAGGAATTCCAGTGGCCTCAGCGTAGCCAAAGTCTGTCTCAGCTCCCTGCAGAGAAGCTACCGCCAAAGAAAAAGCGTCTCCGTTTGGCTGAGGCAACCCAATCATCAGGAGAATCTAGCTTTGAGTCAGTATCGCTGCCACACAGCCCAAGCCAAGAGAGCAATGTTTCCCATGCCTCCAGCCGATCTGCATCCTTTGAGGAAATGGGAAGGCCAGACTCTGAAATGCAAAGTGCTACTAGGAGCTCCCAAGTTTCTCACATGCTCACCGTCCCATCAAGTGTCTATCAATACCATCAGTCTCAAAGAGAGATGCGGCGCTCAACCTCTGAACAGGCATCTGCAAGTCCGGCTTACCCAGCACATGTAGAAGAAACAAGAAGCAAGTCATTTGACTATGGCTCCCTATCTCTAGAGCGTACTTCTGTTACTTGGAAGGAGAGGAGGAAATGTCTCTTGGTGAAACACGGAACTCTTGGTGAACCTGACCATGAGGAGCCATCTTCTAAACATGGCTTCTTAGCTGTTTGCCAGTCCTACCCAGCTCATCCTCCTTTCACAATCACAGAGAACAGAGAGGGAAACAGGACCTCTAGGTTTAGCTCAGAGAATATAGGCAAGACCTTGCAACTGTTCCACTCCCCTCTTGGCCTCCCACCAGCAGTTTTCCCTATACATCAAGCAAATCCTGATTTTTATTCCTCAAGTCAGCTAACTAGATTCGTCCCAGTCACTACAGGAATCTCAGCAGTCATTTCACCGCAAATGTTTCACCAAGGCTACCTTCACAGTGAGACACCTCCGGTAAATCAAAGACCCACAGAGTATGTAGAACGCCTGCCCCTTCAGCCACTCGCAACTTTATTCCCGCTACAATCAAGTGATGTTGCTCAGGCGGTTTGCTTTCCCATGCCAGGAGGTCTGACTATTCAGGTCCCCTCTGGGCCTCTTTTCAGGGAGTTTAGGTCATCACCATCCTCTTTGCCTAGTCCTGTTCATTCACAACAGCAGCTAGTAGTTCGCCACAGTCCCCATCCTGTGATTGCTCCTTGCCTTCAACAGCTTGTGCCAGTGGTGTCCCTTGTAGTGCCTGTGCGCTTACAGACTCACATTCCTACCTATGCTAGTGCCATGTATACAACCATCTCACAAATTTTAGCCACAACACAACATCCAATCTGTTGTACAGCTATGGTCATCATGGGTAAACTGGAGGAAGACAAGATTCAGAGATCTTACCTTAGGCTGCCCTCGCCAAGCCCTAAGAGCTATATTCCCTTGCCGCTGCCTCTCGAACATGGAGCAGGAACTTCATCTGATGACAGCTATGGACAACTTGGTGCCGGAGGAAGTAAACGAATGCTGTCCCCCGCAGGTAGCCTAGAACTCAGTTTAGAGGCACATCGACACCAAAAGCGGGTAAAAGAAGAGGAGGAGAAAGAAGAGGATGACAAGGAAAATGCTGATAACAAATGTGATGAAAAATCTCAGGAGTTAAGTCAGGGTAAAAATAAGTATAGGCTAACAGTGGAGAATGTCGGCAGGGAAAAAGATCCAAGAGAAGTAATAGAAACGGAAGAGTCAAGCAAGCAGAACTTACATCAACACAAAACTGAAACCTTAAAGGAGGAGGAAAGGGAAGAGGCAGAACACCGGTATGCTCCAAGGGTAGCTAGTCCAGTGAGAATCGTGGATCCTTCATATCCTAGTTTGCATACAACAACATCTGTCAGTTGGTGCTACCTAAATTATACAAAGCCCAACCCATCTACACATAGAGATTCAACATCAGTCTATTCCTCATGGAGTGTTAGCATGCATAACCCCAATATACCTGGTTTGTCCACCAAAATATTACTATCTCTGTTGCGCTCAAAACAAAAACATAGTGCTGAAACATACACAATGGCTACAGCTCCACCACCAACCATTGACAAGCTGGTTTCTACAGACAGCAAGGAGACCAGTGCATCAGAGGTAATGATCTCTGTAATTTTACATTTGTAAAATAAGTATGCATATTTAAGACTTTTTTATGTTTATTCTACCATGTATCTATCATGTGTTTTGTAAGTTGTGTAAATGTATTACAGTGTTGGTAAATTAGCCTCTCTGTCTGGAGTGTAGGTACATGCCTCACCACCCAGCACCCCCGTCAAAGTAAAAGAGGAACCAACAAGTGAAAGTAGGGACAAAGATAAGGAGAGTGCTGATGACATGCCAGCTACCTCGACTCAAAATGAGGCAGTACGTGTTTGCATTTTTGAGGGCGGGTGAGTAAATTCAAATACAAGTTATTTTAAATCTGTAGCTTCGCGAGCTAAAAAGTTATCTGCACAATAAAAGTCCAATTATAACTGCACATTTTTGCACTGAACTCTGCTACTCATTGGAAGAAGTAGCTTGTGATTTGGAAATTCACTATTTAAAAATAGTTGGACTAGTATTATGCTACTGAAAGTTATTAGCATTGCTACATTCACGTTATCATATTGCTCATGTTATCTAAAATTGGCCTAAAGTATTTCATTTCATGGCATCTACAGTGTATAGCATTATATACACATAACTAGGACTGGAGAGCAGCTTATTCATGATCTTCCTCACAAAGAAAGGGATTACCACTGAACCTGGTGTTTTCTGTTTGTTTTTTACTATCTGAGTGACAAAGAGATTGTAGTACAGGTGAAACTATGAGCCATTAGAGACTTCAATTATCCTGCCTTGTTCAGTCGTCTATAGAATTCACACCTTGCTCAAAGGTATGAATTTGGATGGAGCATAGAGAGAGGGAGACTGCTGATAGCTTAGTAGCCCTGCAGATTTATTTTTGAAGTCTGCTGCTCATTAGTGTTTTACCAGCTATATCTACATAGCACAGTTAAAGAGTAAAAACAAAACTTTCACCTTGAGTGACTAGAAGAACTACTGAAATTTCATCATGGAAATTCACAGTGAGAAAATTATTTATTGTTTTTTTTTTTAGGAACACTAATTGTTAGCAACAATGGCCTATATGCACTGCTAGTGTTTTTGAGCCAACAACAAACTTCGGGTAAAAGCTTTTTGTGACTATTTTCAATTTTATAAGGTTCTTTTTACAGCATCAGTGTTGTAATGTACAGTAGTTACAATACATTCTGTTAAATAAATGTAAGCATCCATAAGGTTGTTAAAGCATAAAAAGAGACAAAAGATTTTAGCGCAGGTGCAATCATTAGCGGCTGGCTAGCGCAGAAATTAAATTGAAAATACTGGGGTAATATTAATTTCCATATTTTAAAGACATGGCATGGGAAAATTTAGTTTAATGCAGCTGAGGCTCGAACCAGTGACCTACTGCATCGCCTGCATGCTTATTAATGGAAGTCTATTTTGCGAAAAGTCCAGTGTGATCGTGGCTTTACTGGTGGAATGTGCAATCAATGAAGATTGGCCACCAGGCTGGTCAAATTTAGCCATAAAACCTCCAACACTAAATAGGCCAGTGTTTAAATGAGCATTATCACACTCGTAGCAGTGCGATATGGTTGTATATCAGCACTGGTGGTAGGTGTGCGTTCGCTGGAGGCCTCAGACCGATTGCCTTAGTGCCCCCCACCAGTGCCGATATATAGCCATGTCGCACTGAGTGTGATTTTGCATTTATACAACAGTTCGATGGTAAAATCGTGTATATAAAAAATTTAATCAAACACAGAGAGTCTCAAAAGCTTTTTGTACAAGGAACTACTTTCTTCCACCATTCATTCACATCTGCGAGCTGACGGTCAGTTCACAAATGTCACTTTAGAGCTACTATTTAAATGATTCTCTTGCTTAATGTCTAAAGTGATGACAAAACAGGTCATTTTACTCACATTTTAAGATTATAAGGCAAAACGGCAAGATATGCCATTAATCTACAAAGGTCTCATAGTATTTCTCTGCTGCAATCAAAATATCACAATAATTAACTCCGAAAACAAAACACTACCAGTTTCTGTGGTATAAATACAGCAATACAAGATACAAAAGAGAGATTGACTTAGAATGCCACTTACCTGATTTATATAGATTTTTTTCAGCTGTACATTGAGAAAACACTGAGTAGGAACTTATAGGCTATAAGGACTTATAATGCTGTCTCTGTCGTCATCTTGTGGCCTCAACCATCACTCTTTTTGTTCTGCTCAGACTGATGGTGGTTGATGCATTAAATCTCTGAAATGATAAATATTTTAAAATAGGCACTGTCCTTATAAATAAAGTACATAGTTGCAATCTAAACAACTACATTCTCGACTAAAATGCCTCATAACCAGGGGCGGACTGGGACAGCATTTGCAACTGCCCCTGCTCATAACTACATTATGTTGTCCAACAGCAGCAATATTTGTCAAACTGTAGAGTGTCCTCTGCTTGTTACTGTTTGTGGGCGGAGTATTACACAAGGGTGAAGGGTTAAGAGGCTGTGCTGTTATTTGCAGAATATTGTATGGCTATCAGCCAATCAGATTCAAAAACCAGACAGATCTATTATATAAATTTCATTGTCCAACCATTGAATATATATATTAAAGCAATAACAAAAGGGAGTGAGATATTAGGAAATAATAATATTTTCAAATTTCTGATGGATAAAAATACAAATAACTTTACCAAAAAACTTCTAAACACTTATGAGTGTGTGATCAATGGTGATAATCAAAAATTAAGATTTTTGTAATAATCATGCGACCATACGTTGTAAAAGATGATTAGAAAACCTTTTTTTTAGTAAAAAAAAAAAAAAAAAAAAGAAGAATTATAAGGCCTGCAGATTGATGGAGGAATGGATAATAAAAAGGAGAGATAGTCAAGCTGACCTGTAAACATCAAAAGCTTGGGCTTCATTAGCAGGGTCTCTTGCATTCATCTGCTTATGCAGGGCTCTCAATGTGCTCGAGTGCTTAAACTGCAGCAACAGCTCACCATAGCCTGCATTTTTATTCCTGCTTCCTTTGTCTCTCTCTCTCTCTCTCTCTCTCTTTCTCTCTCTCTCTCTCTCTGCCTTTATTTTGCTCGTACTCTTCTTCCGCCTTGCACACCCACGCGCTCCCTAATCACATCAGACTGTCTCGCACACACACTCCATTTTGTCTCCAAAACTTCTCACATCCATCAGCACCCTTTTGTCTTTGTGCCTTCATAACAATATTTGCCGTCATCATTAGTAGAACACAGTGTTACTGCAGGACAATCAAAGATAGACGTGTGTGTGTGTGTGTGTGTGTGTGTGTGCGTGTGTGTGTGTGTGTGTGTGTGTGTGTGTGTGTGTGTGTGTGTGTGTGTGTGTGTGTGTGTGTGTGTGTAGTCGATGTCCCCTTTTTAAAGACACCTTTCTAAAAATAGTCGACAGGTGTTTTGTGTGTAATAAAAGACTTTAATGTTGTTCCTCTGATTGCATTTGCAGTATCATGAATGAAGGCTGGCTCCTACAAAATGGAGTGTAGTAGATTTGTTTTTTTTTTCCTTGTGGAAACAGATGTGTAGAGAATCTGTTTTTTCTCCTCCACTCCATCAATTTTACTCTTGTAATGAAAGCATGCAAACAGCTTTCAGAATGCATATGCTATCTTTCCAAAAGCACCCCATCATCCATATGAAGTAAATCAAATAATGCAACTATGCATTATTTATGCAATACATTAATATTCTCTCCAACTACTGCAGAATTACCTTATAAGCTTGTTGATTGCGACATCGAGATTTGGAACAGCAAACATTAAAATATACTGTATACACTCACCGGCCACTTTATTAGGTACATCTTACTAGTACTGGGTTGGACCCCCTTTTGCCTTAAGAACTGCCTTAGTCCTTTAGGGCATAGATTTAATAAGTACCAAGGTACTGGAACTTCTCAGAGATTTTGGTCCATATTGACATTATACGTAGCTTAATGCAGTTGCTGCAGATTTGTTGGCTGCACATCCATGATGTGAATCTCCTGTTCCACAACATCCCAAATATGCTCTGCTGGATTGAGATCTGGTGACTATGGAGGCCATTTGAGTACAGTGATTTCACTGTCATGTTCAAGAAACCAGTCGGAGATGACTTGTGCTTTATGACATGGCACGTTATCCTGCTGGAAGTAGCCATCAGAAGATGAGTACACTGTGGTCATAAAGGGATGCACATGGTCAGCAACAATACTCAATTGGTGTGTCATTGAGACAATGCTCAGTTGGCACTAATGAGCCCAAAGCGTGCCAAGAAAGTATCCCCCACACCATTACACCACCACCAGCAGCCTGAACCGTTGATAGAAGGCAGGATGGATCCATGCTTTTATGATGTTGATGCCAAATTCTGACCCTACCATCCGAATGTCTCAGCAGTAATTGAGACTCTTCAGACCAGGCACCATTTTTCCAATCTTCTATTGTTTATTTTGGTGAGCCTGTGCAAATTGTAGCCTCAGTTTCCTGTTCTTATCTGACAGGCATGGCACCTGGTGTGGTCTTCTGCTGCTGTAGCCCATTCACCTCAAAGTTTGTTGTGTTATGCTTTCAGAGATGCTTTTTTGCAGTCCTCGATTGTGACAAGTGGTTATATGAGTTACTGTTGCCTTTCTTTCAGCTCGAACCAGTCTGATCATTCTCCTCTGGCATCAACAAGGAATTTGCACCCACAGAACTGCCACTCACTGGATATTTTCTCTTTTTTGGATCATTCTCTGTAAACCCTAGAAATGGTTGTGCATGAAAATTCCAGTAAATCAGCAGTTTCTGTAATACTCAGACCAGCCCGTCTTGCACCATCAACCATGCCACATTCAAAGTCACTTAAATCTCCTTTCTTCCCCATGAGGGACCTATGATGATCGGTTTGACCAGCAGCAGATTGTCTTCGCCATGTCTACATGCCTCAATGCATTAAGTTGCTGCCATGTGATTGACTGATTAGAAATTTGCGTTAACCAGCAGTTTGACAGGTGTACCTAATAAAGTAGCCAGTGAGTGTATATGGTAATACTTTACTGTATATTAGATTTCTTTAACTACTAAGTACTTAAATACGGTTTTATATACAGTGTTTTTTGTGTGATTAATTTATTGCAAACCCACTTCCTTTGTTATTAAAGGGTGATAAGGCTCAGAGAAGGTTTTAGTGGTATAGGTTGTGTTGGTAAAGTGGTAAAGGATGGGTACATGGTCTGATCTAGTGTACATGTTTTACAGATGTATTTGTTATTTAAAATATTGTAATAAATATTTATTACATATATTTAATTACATTGTAAATATAAATTAAAAATATGCTTTTTTAGTCTATGTATTAGGTGTGTTTGAGAATGAATGCCATTTAGCAGTCTTACAGTATATCACCCTGAAGAGGTGGACTTTTCTAGTACTGGCTCTGAAATTTGCATATGCAATAATACAATGTTATACCAAAAATTTAAATGTTAAATTGTTTATTCTTCTGCAAAAACTATTATACAGTAGTTCATAAAATAACATAAGAACATTATAGTTCAACGTAAGGAAAACACTGCAGGTGTATTGTAAAATTCATTTATACACCGTTAATAATCCTCTAGCCGATATACTTTCATAGGTTAGGATATTGTTGTTGTTTTTTTCCATCCTGCTCTGATTCTAGCCAAATGTAATTTTAGCTTTTTAACTAAAATATAAAATACATGTAAAATAAAAAAAAATAATTATATAATCTTACAAATTTTATTTAATATATATATTTTTTAAATATAAATTTCAAAAATATATAATTTACATTATTTACTTTTTATTGATTATTATTTACACATTTATTTAGTTGTTTATATTGGGTATATAACCCTCATATAGTGTATATAAGTATATTTAATTATTAAACTCATTTCATATTAATTGATTATTTATACATCTATACATGTACAAAAGTTTGTTTCACAATACTGGCCAACCTGAACTGCAGTTTGCCACTTATGAAATGAGTATTCAAGTTATCGTCCTATTATATTCAACACTTAAATGAGCCTAGTAACAAGACAAATACTGAAACAATATAACAAAATTAAAATATGTGCTAATAATAGTTAGCCAGTTTACTTTTTCTGTGGAATAGTAAGCATTTTGGGCCTTAAAAGCCATGTCTGTCTTTGTTTTTGTTTCTTTCTACCTAAATTTTAAAGCTATGCTTTATTTATTTATATACTTTATTCATTTATATACTTTATTCATTATTTATTCATTCCTCATTGTTTAAGAAATTTATAGAACATAACTTTCATTCATAGTACATAGTATTGTATCAACTTTATTATATACAGTAAAGGGATCTTCAGTTGATGCTTATTAAGAAGCTTATGGATTTTATTGGCCACTTTTAGCTCTCTGTCCTTAAGTGGAATTGTCTCGCCAGCAAAAAATACAATCTTTGAGCCAAAGTGTGGATTCTTTGAGACTATCTTCATAGTGACAAGTGCTGAAAATATATAGCGGAACCCGGAGCTCTTATAATGAGAGATTCAGTGTTTGGGGAGTTCACATGAGGGTCCTGCCAAAGTGAAGATCTTTGCATTATTACTCTTCATGAATGTGATAACCTTATATATTAGATAGATTAAAAAATAGATTTTTTATGAACACCTCTATCTATCTGTCTGTCTTACCTGAACAGGTATAAGTCAAACGAGGATTATGTGTATGTTCGTGGAAGGGGAAGAGGCAAGTACGTGTGTGGTGAATGTGGGATTCGCTGTAAGAAGCCCAGCATGTTAAAAAAGCACATTCGCACTCATACAGATCTGCGTCCGTATGTCTGCAAGTACTGCAACTTCGCCTTTAAAACCAAAGGTAGACATACATTCAAACTCATCCTATCATCTCTTTAAAGGCTCACGTTTCGGTACTGTGTTGATGTTGAGACTTGTCTTTTTCTTCAAGGGAACCTTACCAAACACATGAAGTCTAAGGCTCATGGTAAGAAATGCCTGGAGATGGGAGCATCCGAGTCCTCTGAGCTGGACCCTGAGGAAGCAGGTAATGTTAACAAAAAGATTGTACGTAAAGTTGAAAAAAAATAATAATAATAAATAAATAAATAAAGTTGAGAAAAAAAAAAAAAAAATATATATATATATATATATATATAAATATATATATATATATATATATATATATTTATATATATATATATATATATATGTTTTTTTTTGCCTTCCAGAGAAAGTCGTATTTGTTTTATTTTTGCTAGAATAAAAGCTGTTATAAATTTTTTAAACCCATTTTATAGTCAATATCATTAGCCCTCTTTAGCATACTGTTTACAGAACAATCATTATAGAATGACTTGCAAAATGTCAATGCTATGCTTATTACCCTAATGCTTAATTAACCTAGTTAAGCTATTAAATTGCACTTTAAGCTTAGTAGTGTCTTGAAACATATCTAGTAAAATATTACGTACTGTCATCATGGCAAAGATAAATGAATCAGTTATTATAAATGAGTTATTAAAACTATTTAGAAAAATCTTCTTTCTGTTAAACAGAAATTGGGGGGAAAATGTTTAGGTTAGCTGACAATTTTGACTAAAACTGTATGTGGTTTGAAGGATGATTTGTAATTGCAGTTTAATATAATGAAACTAAAACATATTGTAGACAGGGCCTAAAATGAACATGCACAAAATGAACACATTATTAATCCAATCATATTATACGATTAAATCTACAACAAAATGCCACTATAATACTATCAAACTTCAAAATGTTTCATTGTCATTTTAATCGATGTGACCAAATTATAAACTCAACAAAAGGGCTGCACAATATATTATTTATATATCATATCATTCTGCAGTTGTAGGATCTGTGATGTTGAGTTTATAGGTTGGGTTGGGGTTGGGGTTAGAGTTGACCAGCAGTTACAGTTCAGAACATGACATTTGTGGAGTCACTTTAGAGATTAATCAAAAGTGAAAGTTAACCAACTGTGAGAGCCTTTCAGTCAATTTCAGGCTTCATTTCAAGTTTAAAAAGGCACAATAAAAGTTTGTAACTTTAATAAAGATTTATTTCATTGAATTATTCATACAAAGTTTGAACAGACTATAATTTTTTACATTTGATTTAATTTCCATACCTAAATACTAGGGATGTCCAGATTCGATCACATGATCAGAAATCGAGCCCAATTAGTCAGTTTTTAGACTCAACTGGAATAGGACGTTACCTCCCGATCAGGACTTGAATATATATGTATATTTATATATTCTCATTATTTTTTAACACATCTATAGTTATGCAGAGGCACAGAGTTAGACCTCTTTCTTGACTTCACACAGAAACAGCTAAATGGATGCGGTATGACATCACTTTGTTGCAGAGACTCTATTGGATAAACGCCAGCAAAGTAGATCACGGATGCAGCTTGAAGCAGAAAGCACGAGTATGTCTGTGGTCTGTAGGTATTTATAAAGTTGATGACAACAACATTTCTATAACATAGTGTGAGATATGTAAACTAGTTGAGTTGAGGTGCTATTTTTTTAATATTAGATGTTTTTATATTTACTGTAGCACTAAAGTCTAAAAATGAAAAATTTATATTATTTATTACGTGATTGTTCAAGCTATCTCACAGAAGTGCTCTAGCTATCTCACAGAAGTGCTCTGCTTGTTAACAGAGTTGTTGAATGTTAAAATAAGGAATAATTAATAAAAAATAAACATCCGGATCAGTTTCTTTGCTCTTCTTTATTCTTTTTTTAATGTATTATTGAAGTATTGAATCTGGTTTGAGTATCGGCAGATACGCAAAATCAAAAGATTCTGACTCGAGGCTAAAAAAAAACCTGATCGGGACATCCCTACTAAATACTGTCAGGTTTCCTCCAGAAAACCAAGCTCTATGAATTTCACATTAATCTGCTCTGTTGTATACATCTAATCTTGAAACTTGTTGATTATATTTCATACACGATTAGGTCTAAATGATTAAATTCCTTTCCAAAATAAATTTTCAAGTTTTCTGGTGAAATTGTTTTAATATTGCAATACACATCGCAGAAAAAAACGAAATATTGCAATGTCATATTTTTTTTTATATTTAGCATCGTATTACAATGCATACACATGAAGCACATGTACTGTATATGATACTTCAAAGTGCAGTATAAACCCCTTAAACATCTTTTTTCTTTTTCTTTTTTATTCAAGAATTTGCTCTTCCAGATCGGTGTTATTTTAGCATGTTTGCTTCATTGGTGCAAAAGTGATGTCAACCTTGCAGTTTGCTTTTAGATTTGAAGGTGAAAATCTAATGAAAATAGTTTGCCATGAAGAGAAGCACGACCGACCTTCAATTCACTGAATTTATATGAAGCCAGAACTGAAAACTGCCTTTCTCCCTCTATCAATCTGTCTGTCTGTCTTTCATTCTCTCGTAGGTTGTCTTTTCTTCACTTTTCTCATTCTCAGTCCATGTTCCAAGGACATTTCATTCAGCAACTCTTCATTCACTAGATTTAAAATATAGTTAATGAATGAAGCAGAGCTCCAAAACAGATTTTAATCGTTTATTTATTGCATTACAGTGTTATATATAGATTTTTTCTTTTAAAGTAATACATCATTTTCAGCAGTTTAAGCAACAAAAGAACAGGTTGTCCGCTGGGTCTTAGAAAGTCTTAAATTTCAAAAACAGGCCTTAAAAATCTTAAATTCACTGAAATATTGTGTTGTAGGTCTTAAATCATTTTAAACAGGTCTTAATTTTCCTATGTGCAAGCAAAGCATCTATTAATAATCAATCTCAAATATTTTATATATATATTTAAGTTTTTTATTGCAAAAAGATACAGTTGTTACTCATTTTTACAGCAAATTCTCCAAATTAAACTCTCTAATCAAGTAAAGAAATCTAAAGCAGCACATCTGTTTACATGATCTTTTATTAATAGAAAATATTTACGGAAGTGACTGGGCCATTAGAAATATCCTTAGTGTTTACCGTGTATAAGTCTTAATTTTCAGTCGTAATGGTCTTAATTAATTAGTCTTAAATTTGACTTAAGGAGACCTGTAGAAACCCTGAAGAGCTTTTAAAATAAATATACACAAATTTGTACTTAAAGTTTTTGATGTTGATAAACAAAAACAAAACACAATAAAGCCTCAACTACTTTAAAATCAACTAAATAATGAAGAAACATAATGAAGTGTTTTCTTGGGACAAGTTTTTTTTTTTTTTTGCCACAAAATTAGTAAATTTATTTTAGTGTATTTTAGCTATGACATATTACACAGTTACTTAAATTGTATTAGCATCTCTGAGAAATATTCACTAAATTAAAATGTGTGACAAGTGTAAAAAGGTTGACGCCAACTCCCATTCAAACTAAGCAGGGTGGTGCGTGGTCAGTACCTAGATTGTAGACTTCCTATAGGTAAACCTGGAATTTTTTTAAAGTGGTGTTAGCGAAGCCAGTGGTGTTGCTTACTGTGAGGTCTCTTTGTGTCATAATACCCAAGTATAGTGATGGGAACTAGGCATGTGCCAATCAGGTTTTTTGCGCTCATTTTTTGAGTCATTTGATTTTGAGTATCTACCAATACCAAAAGCCGATCCGATACTTCTATAATGCATAAAAAAAGAATAAAGAGCAAAGAAACAGATCCAGGGTTTTCATTATGTTTTATTTAATTCACTTTTTTAACATCCAACTTATGTGAAGTAGCTTAAACAATCAACTAATGAATAACATCAAGTCTTCACTTTTGGACTTTAGTGCAACAGTAAATATAAAAATCTCTAATATAAAAATAAAAAGCACCTCAACTTAAAATACCTGACAGGCAATCCCAAGTTTGCATATCTCACTGTTTCCTATGGCAATGTCGTAAATCATTTATTAATTTTCTTGTCGGCTTAGTCCCTTTATTAATCCTTGGTCGCCACAGCGGAATGAACCGCCAACTTATCCAGCAAGTTTTTACGCAGCGGATCCCCTTCCAGCCGCAACCCATCTCTGGGAAACATCCACACACACATTCACACACACACTCATACACTACGGACAATTTAGCCTACCCAATTCACCTGTACCACATGTCTTTGGACTGTGGGAGAAACCGGAGCACCCGGAGGAAACCCACGCAAAGGCAGGGAGAACATGCAAACTCCACACAGAAACACCAACCTAGCCGAGGTTTGAACCAGTGACTTTCTTGCTGTGAGGCGACAGCACTACCTACTGCGCCACTGCCTCGCCATGTTGTAAATCATCAACTATAAAATACCTTCAGACTGCAGACATACTCACGATTTTTGCTTAAAGCTGCTTTCGTGTTCTACTTTGCCGGTGTTGTGCCAAGAAACGCACCCCTGCCACAAAACGCACCCCCTCATAAATTTTCATTAACATTCTCAGTCTATATTTAAAACAAAAATCAGAGGCCAAAGTTGATTAAAATGTAAAATGTTTATTATTTTGATGGATAAAGCATGGACAAGAAGTTAAACGTATTTTCAAACGCACTAGGTTTACAAATAAATGTAAAATAATAATATTGACTGTTGTGTAGCCTGAAATTAGACTTTTTGGTGGGTTTTAAACAGACATTTAGGCTACATGAGCATACAAAATTGTTGTTGTTGTTTTAAACTAAACCACACATTTTACCACAAACAATTTACCTACTCTCATTGGTATTGTATTTAAAATCAATGTATTGTATTTAATTTATTATTTACAATTAAAGTCAGAATTATTAGCCCCCGTTTATTTTTTTCCCCTATTTCTGTTTAACAGAGATTTCTTCAACACGTTTCTGAACATAATAGTATTACTAACTCATCTCTAATAACTTATTTATTTTAACTTTGCCATGATGACATTAAATATTATTTTACTAGAGATTTTTCAAGACACTTCTATACAGCTTAAAGTGACATTTAAAGCCTTAACCAGGTTAATTAGATTAATTAGGCAGGTTAGGGTAATTAGGTAAGTTATTGTATAATGATGGTTTGTTCTGTAGACTATCGAAAAAATATAGCCTTAAGGGGCTAATGATATTGACCTTAAAATGTTTTTTATTATTAAAAACTGCTTTTATTCTAGCTGAAATAAAACAAATAAGACTTTCTCCAGAAGAAAAAATATTATCAGACATACTGTGAAAATGTCCTTGCTCTGTTAAATATCATTTGGGAAAATTTTTAAAAAGAAAAAAAAAATTCAAAGGGAAGCTAGTATTTCTGACTTCAACTGTATAAGTGCTTCACTTTTTCTGCTAGATCCGGTCTACCTTTTGGTTCAGTTTTGAATTTGCATATTTATTTTCCTTGTATAGTCCTTTGTTATATAATGAGCATCTCCTTTTCTGTCCATTAGGAGGCAGTGATGAGCGAGTGTGTGAGTCAGAAGACCAGGAGGGCCACCAGTTCTCTGATGTTGACGATTCTGAAGTAGAAGATGATGAAGATGAGGAAGAGGACTTCTCCTCCCATGATGAGCCATCTTCAGCCTGCTCTACTGACACCCGTCAGTCTACAGGTGACCTTTCTGAAAGTGGCCACGGCTCACAGACTGAGCCCTCTGACCCTACAGCAAGGGAGGAATACTCTTCACCTCATAGGCCTTGGCCTGGCATACGAGCCATGTCTCCAGGAGGCAAGAGGGCGTCTTTCTCTCGGAAGGGCTGGGAGGTTTCCCCGAGGAACTTCTCCCCAAGCAGCGAGGGCTCTCCTCTCAGAAGCCTGTCTCCAAGGGTTGAATTGTCCTCACCCAGTCGTCATCTCTCTCCATCTCCAGAGAGAGGCCCGTCACCCATCAGAGCTTTGTCTCCTCTCAGACCTCTCTCTCCTCTGAGACCCGTGTCACCCGCTAGATACAGGAGTGCCAGAGCTCTATCCTCCCCTACGCCTTTAAAGCCTCAGCATCGCCCGCACAGCTCTCCCGCAGGCCTCCACTGGGAGCCCAGCAAACCAGCTACTAACACTCAAAAGGTAGGCAATGTAACAATTTAAAGGGGTCTTGTTATGCTGGGTTTTTACGAGATGTTATTTTCCAGAATGCTTCTGTGGAAAAATGCTTGACAGATTATTACTATGCCCTGCTGCTAATGAGACTTTTTGGATAAAAGCAAAAACACTGCAAAAACTAAACATGTAAATGAGCTGCATGTCCCTGCCCAATTACAGCTCATGCTTTTCTCCAGTAGCTAAATGTCAGTAAACTCCTGATATTTGGTTCTGAACGCACAGCCAAATAGTATCAGTATATTAGACCTGTGAAAATGAACCTGAACCACACTGTTCCAGTTACTATGACCAATTATGTGAAGCTGCTTTGACACAATCTACATTGTAAAAGCGCTATACAAATAAAGCTGAATTGAATTGAATTGAATTGAAAATGTCTCTTGGACATGACGACAACCAGGGATGGGCGGTATTTATGATACATGTATTTCAAATACGTATTTTAAATACAAAATAGTCATTGTATTTGATAGGACTTATAAAAATGGCTTAATATTTTCTATCAAAATATCTTAGTATTTTGTAATTTAGTATTTTTAAAAATTTAGTAAAATACTTTGTAAGAATTCTACATCAATACATTGCTTAAATGCATCCTCTGATTGCTGCTTTGGATGTTATTGACTTCCATTTAAAGATGTATTGAAAAACATCTTAGGAGAAAGAGTATACTGTACAAATAATGGTAGTTTTGGATGGATTCCTGATGCCAAATGTTTGTCGTTAAAACAAACAACATAAAAATAAGTCCTACCATGGCGATTCCTACAACGCTTAATTGGCTGTTTTAAATGCCAGTTGTTGATCAGTAGGTCCATTGTATAGTTAATAAAGAGGAAAGATGGAAGCCTTAAGATGTGAAACACAAATATTTATTTATTAAAAACTTCTAATACAGTTTTTACATTGAGTTCTGAAGAGCTAAATAGCAAAAAAGAAAGATTTCAGAAAAACTCTGTGGTAACACTTTATTTTGATGGTCCATTTGAGTATTAGTAGACTGTCTTCTTAATATCTGTTGATACTGACATTTAACAGTCCTTCAACAGACATTTAACTGACTATAAGAAACTTTGCAAGTACATGTAAACTTACACTAACCCCAACCCCAACCTAACAGTCTACTTATAATCTGCTGAAAATGAGTTGGCATGTAGCTGCAATGTAACTTAAACTCAACAAACGGACCATCAAAATAAAGTGTGACCAGTTTGGTTAACAAAAAATGTCAATTTACTCTTTATTTAACACCCTTTTAAAATATTAAGAGGTTGAATAGTCATTTTACAGAGATGATGGCAGTTTTACTGGCCACATTTACTATCAAATATTGTTTGCTTCAATAAGCCAATTTAATGGTGAAGGGATTGATAGATGGAAGATTTGCAAAGAAATGTCATGCTCCTTTGTAAAAGTATTTTGTAGAATTTTTAATATACAAAATACTGTGTTTTATTTTGATACACATTGTGGCTGCTGTATTTATAGTTAATTTTGATTAATCTACAATTAATGTATTTAGTATTTTATTTTAAAATACATTTCAATGTATTTTTTCCCAACCCTGACGACAACACATTACTAATGCAAGTCAAGCAGCTCTAACCACATTTGACAGTAGTTGTTATTAATTCATTTATTCATTTTCTTAGTCCCTTTATTAATCTGGGGTCGCCACAGTGGAATAAACTGGCAACTTATCCCATATATGTATTACGCAGCGAATACCCTTCCTGCTTCAACCCATCACTGGGAAACACAGTAATCATTATAATATACATTAATCAAATAAAGAAATAAAAAACAAAGTTGAAGCATTTGAGGGAGTTTAGCAACAGTGCTTATTGATATAGAGAAGAACTCCTTTTAAAATGGACGTTTCTGTAGCTCCAGATCTTCCTCAATGCACATTTCATGTGGACTAAAGAAAGTTGACAATTAAAACGCAAAATAGGACCTCTTTAAATGTTGGTTTATGTAAATATTTAGTTTCATTTTGCATATTCTTGCACCAAAATGTTATTTTTGTGGATCCCAGAGTAAAACTAAACATGCATATCCAAAGTGATGTTAACTGAGACAAAAGAATATGTACAACAAATTTGTTTCCAATGTCACATCTCCTCCTACAGGACAAACCTGGTACTCAAGCAGCTCCAGATCCCTGCCTGCTTTCCCCATCCCAGCGCTTTCCTCCCTGCGAGCCTTTCCCTCCAGCTCCAGTGACTCCATGGACAGTGGACCGCATGTTTAGCCACCTTCCTTTGCACTCCCAAGATCAAGCCCGCATGCCCTATCACATGATTCCCATTGGGGGCATCCAAATGGTGCAGCTCCGACCCCCATCACGGCCCAAACTGGAACGACAGTCGTCGTCCACCCCTTCACCCACCTCTCCCAAAGAAGACTCCCCTTTTTCTCTCGCCAGAAGGGATTATCCATGGATCTCATCTTCGGAAAGCAGTCCGCAAAGAACTAAAATCCAAGATGAGGGAGCCAGTCAGTCTGACCGGTTTAGTCCCAGTACAAGCTCGGCCGTACCTAAACTCCTCTCTTTAAAGCAAGGTATAGGGGAGCAACGGACTGCCAAGGTCAGAAAGCAATATAGCGACTCGAGCTCCACCACAAAGACTCGCACTTTTGGTCCCGAAGCATCAAGGAAAACTGCAGCAGACAGCGATGAAGGAGCCCAGAGGATCTCGCAGGGGGAAGAAGCGAGTTCCTCAGGTGAAAGCAGACTGCTACGTGGGACAGAAAAGCCTGTAGCGGCGCCACTCAGGGGACGTGGCTCTTCTGCAGAAGGATCTGACGCTGATCCAGATAGCACTTAAAAACCTCTGTGCACAATGGTGAAATGCTTTCTACTGCTAATACTACTATTGTTTTGTTTTTGTAATGCGCTTATTTTTTATATACACAATTTTCAATACTCTTGGTAACTTGGTAAATGTTTGTTCTGCAATATTCAAGATTGTAATATGATGCACTTTTTTTTTTCTTGGAAAAATATTTCTGTAAATCGATTACGTCTGTCCCTCCTATAATCTTTATTGACATTGCAATCTTAATATATCTATTTGAATATGTATATGTAAAAACAAACCGAAAACCTTGTACTTGTAAAACATTAAGTATGGATATGTTTCTAAATGACCAAGATGAAAACTTCAATTGAGTAATTCCAATATTTCGTCTCTTGTCCAGTATTGCGCAAATTCTAGTGATGTGTGCCTTTTCTGTCCAGATTTACTGCTTGAAGTGTCAAAGATAAAAAGGCTGTGAATTCTTTTCATGAATATAGATTTTTATTTGAGCTGGTGTTTGAAGAAGCGGTAAGGTTTTCTTTGTACGTTAGGGTAAACGAGACAGGCATTGTGCTGTTTAATAGACAAGAGACGAAGGTTTAGGTGATGAGCCTTGCAGGGAAATTGCACTGAAGTCATATTTTTTATAATACATAAGATGAAAATGATTAGATAAGTGTCTCTGTACAGATAGAAAGTCTATGGTCCATATTTATTGCCATGTGAAAATATGAAAATGTTTTGTTTACTTTGGTTTTTCAAAGGGATTTCTATTGTCGTTTTTATTATTATTCTTTACACTTTCTGTTTATAGTTGCGTTTCTTTTTTTAGTTGTGACCTTAAGACTTGAAATGAAGAAACTGGACAGGCTTACAGTGAACTCCAAAATTTGTCACAGACATTTTGCATTTCTGAACCAATAAAGGTACACCAGGAATTACTAAAACTGCTTGTGGTGGTGTGCTGTGATTGATGACCAGCAGATGGTGCAGTGTGTTCATTCATGCCTCTTTGATTCCAGTTTTCTAGCTCTCCCACAGGGACCCGAGCAGGTGGACTGATGTGAGCTGTGTGGGAGGCATTCATGGCCTGTGCAAAACAGCTTTTATAGTTTCCGGGAGAAAAAGATTGCAGCATAGAGTCAATTATCTGGGCTTCCGCAAGAATTTCTGTTCCCCTGTGAAAAAACAAAACAAAACATGTGAGTCTAAGACGTGGCAGATCATCTGTTCGCTTCCGAAAGCCAGTTTGTCCATAGCTGTTTCGTAAGTGTCTTTTTTTAGTTCAATCTTCTTGGAACATTTCATTATTCATATGGAGTTTCTCAGCTGGTTCTCTCATTTCATTAAACGCTTTATCTCAAAAGATTCAGGAACAAATTTTACTACCGACACAAACGTAGGTTAAAAGACATGTTATTCATAATGAATTTAGTGCAGATCATCTTATATTAGATTATAACCTTTAATCAATTACCCATATAGACTAGTACTATACATGCACTAGGGATTCCCAAACTTTTCAGCCAACGAGCCCCAAAGTTACAGTGCTAGTCACTTGCGACCCTTAATATCCTCTAAGTCTATAAACCTTGCACACATTAGTCTATTCATTAGGGATGTCCCGATCAGGTTTATTTGCCCTTGAGTCTGAGTCATTTAAATTTGAGTATTTACTGATACTGAAACCCGATCCGATGCTTTTATAATACATTCAAAAAAATGTCTTTCAAAAAAAGAGTAGGGGTATATCATGGCCTCCTTATTGTCTCTATACCATCATTAGCTTCATCAATCCTCCTCTCCACCAATCAGCTGGTGTGTGGTGTGAGGTCTGGCATAATATGACTGCCGATGCGTCATCCATGTGGATGCCTTACACTGGTGGTGGATAAGGAGATTCCCCCCATTGTGTAAAGCACTTTGAGTGTTTAGAAAAGTGCTGTATAAATGTAAGGAATTAATATTATCACAGTAAACATAAGAAATCCAGGGTTTTCTACAAAGGTGAATGACAGCTCACTCATTGTGATTACTTGTGCTATGTTGGCTGTGATGTACTATGCTTTTGTAACCCCGCCGGTCTTACACCATCCAACCCACTTCGAGCTGGGATCGAGCCGGCGACTTTCCGCATGGGAGTCGGTTGCTCTACAGAGGAGGCTAAAGACCATGGCCTCTAGCATCTTTTCGCTAGAGCACCTTTAGAGGTCAGAGGAGTGAGGTATACCTGCACAGCACTCACTAGCTGGCCTCCGTTACACTCACCCCCCTAAACCTTACTCCCATCCGGGTCATGGCACCAATGTAACCCCACCGGTCCTATGCCACCCAACCCGCTCCGAGCTGGTATCGAACCGGCAACCTTCCGCATGGGAGTCGGTTGCTCTACCAAAGAGGTTAAAAACCCTGGCCTCTAGCGTCTGTCGCTAGAGCACCTTTAGAGGTCAGAGGAGTAAGGTTTACACTTTTGCGCTGTCACAGGGCATTTTTCTCTTCTCCTCAAACTCTCCTGCATTGATTGGGTTGTAGGGATGTAACGGTATTGTACCGTCATACCGCAATATTATTTTTTTCCGATATTACCGAAGTCGCATGACTCGGTAAAACTATAGGTCTTCTGAGAAAATTTGCTCAGGCGAATGAAGCGAACGGGAGGTAGCGAAAACTACAATTGCCATCAGCCCATGCTTGACCATCATCCCTTGCGGTCTGTTGTCGCTACAGATCCAGTAATGCGGAAATGGAGTGTGCTGCTAGAAGCGGGGATGAAAAGAGCTGGAAAACTCTAAAGCAGGTCGCACACCAGAAGCGGCGCTCGGCGGCGCGCCGCACAGCGCCACGCAGCGCCATGTATTTTAGAATTCTAAACATAGGTTTCTATCAGGATACACACACCGGCGCCGCAAGTCGGCGGCGCCCGGCGACGGCTCAGGACGCAGTTCATTTTTCAGCCGCGCCACAGAGCGCCATCTGATTAGTTTCATGTTAAATATCATTCGAATGAGCGCGTCTGGTGTGTGATACTTATAAACTGTCATGTACATCTGAAAACGGAAGCGGGGCTGCAGACATTCGCCTCTCTGATTGGGGCTTTTCCTGAATATTAAGTAGCCTAACACGCACAGTTCAGTCCTGCATAATCTCCGTGTAAGTTCAGACTTCGCAAGTTTGATCAAGGCTGCAGTCTCTTCTTCTCAGTTTGATATGGAAAAGCAGATTATACCGAGGACACGGGTAAATCTTCAAAGGGAACAGTGTACTTTATAACTTCATTCACATCACCCTGGCTTCGTTGTTTCACTTTCTCAACAATAAAATGTAAACATGATTTAAGGAACTGCCTATTTTCATTTTAATATTAGCAACTTAGACAGCAGACATGTTGAGGCGTCGTGCTGCATAAGATGAGCGTCATCTTCACTGTGTGGATATTTATAACAAAACGGAGCCGATAAAAACACTTCCTCCTTTCAATTTCAGTGAAAATACGAAACACAGCCTCTCTTTTGCTGAGTATCAGTTTTAAGAATCGATAATGGCCATTTTAAAAGTATAACATACAATAAGTTTATACATTATAGGAAATAAAGGCAAGCGATCAGTCAATATACAGAATGGACGTGCTTCCATTAATCATTAACTTATCTTTGCGCTCAGCCAAAACACGTTACCTGAGAACAAGTAATAGATTCCAATGCCCAAAGTCAGGGAATATGTCGTTAGATAAAGACAACAAGATAAATGAAATATCCCGTTTAATAAATATAGTGAGATTAGATCCAGCGGGAGATGCTTGATGAGAAGTCCGACTAGCAGAGCTCTCATCTGGGTAGATGGGCTGAGTGTGATTAAATGTTGAATGTGATGAGTTTTCAACAATACTAAATTGAAACTTTATTTTTTTACATGGTTTAATAATTTTTTGTTATTAAAATTGAAGTTCCTGTTTCAAAGCTTACAGATAGATGATAATTTGTATGTCATTGACACTTTTGGCACTTTTTTGGAGTATTTTCACAAGTTTTGTTTTTTCCTGTAAATGATTCAATAAATACCGTACCGTGACATTCATACCGAGGTATTACCGTACCGTGAAATTCTGATACCGTTACATCCCTATTGGGTTGCATAGGTAAACTCACTGTATTGTGCCTGGTGTTTGTTTTTGAGGTGCCTTATCAGGGTTGTTGTAAACGTAACCTGCTGCTGCCATGTTCTACTTTGGTGACATTTAAGAAAGAGGAAAGAGAAAAAAAAAGAGGTCTAACTCTGTGCCACCAAATAACTATAGATGTGTTCAAAATATTAAAAACACACATATATATTTTAGTCCTGATTGGGAGGTCCTATTCTGATCCAGTCTGAAACCTTGTGATCAGGCCCAATTTTTATTAACGTGATCGGATCTGTGCATACTATTCATCATTTAATTTGGAGAACACCACTTGGAGAACATCCTTCATCTTCAGTTGTGGCCTGTATTTATTTTTAATGTATGTGAGTGCCGTAAAGTAGTCTGAAAGTTTGACCTGGTGCTGTAAAATGTGCTGCATCTGAGTCTTCAATATGACATAGTCACGCCAGAGGTCACGAAAAAATCGAAAGGCTGATGACTTTTTAAATGCATGTTGTTTCGATTTTTAACAATCTCCAGTATTGCGACACCCTTTTTTGGGAACCACTGCACTAGAATTTGCGTTCTAATGGCACTTTATTCTTAGGGGATATTGATAAGAAATTTTTTCTCCACCCTCAAATTATCAGACTTTATTTCGATGGACCGTTTGTTGAATTGAAGTTGCATTGCATCTACATGCCAAATAATTCTCATTAGATTTTAAGTAAACTGTTAGGTTGGGGTTAGTGTAAGTTGATTTAAACTTGCAAAGTTTCTTATAGTCTGTTGAAGGAGCACTCTACTAATACTCAAATGACCATTAATATGAAGTGTTACCGGAAATTCTTGTAGAATTGTGTTGTTGCAGTTCTCTTCACTGTCATGTAGGTCTCTTCACAGTCAAAATAATTGTGATAAATGAAAGTGTTCGTAGAGGCCAAGCACAAACTCCTGCGATCGTGAAAATAAAGCAAGATCAGATTGAAATTGCTTGACAATTAAAATATGACTACTGATTTACTACGAAATTTTAATTTCATCATGAAATGGGAGTTAAGATTTTACTTTTTCCAATACCTTCTGAAATTTCATCCTTTGGGAACTGATTAGATATTTGGAAGATGGGTGTTGCTAACAAAATTGTAAGCTTGATGAATGGATAAAACTGGCCAGAAACGAGACACACCCTATTAGCTCCACCCTAAAGGCATTCCCTGTGAGGTCATTTCGTGAGGGGAGGGAAAGTTATGGTATTTGATTAAAGATTATGAGGGCAAATAATTTTCACAAAATATACATCATTTATAACAAGCAGTAAGCTATATGCAGTAACGCAAACTTCTACTTTTTACCCTGGATTTTGCCGATTTGTAGTAAAATAATGACATTTTCAAGATTTGTGTACTTCTGAATGCAAGGAAGGTGTTGCTTCTGGGAATGTGTAGCATAGTTCAATATGATTACTTCCGAATTAGACAGAAGTTATTTCATTATTTTTTAAGACAGGTAATCTTTATACTGCTTTACTTATACTTTATAAGGAAATTATAAAGGTCAAAATAAAATCTTATTTTAAAAAATCCTTCAGTTTTATATAAAATATGAATAATCACAAAAACAAAAAAAAACTGCAATTGCCTGTTTTTTCCCATTTTTAATAGTTTTTATGAGAATCAGTGTGTAAAAAAGAAAGTCGTTTGCATCTTCAACCCTAATGAGAAATACACTTGAAACATCAATGGTCTTCATTTTAGTTATGTAATCCCACCCCGATGGCTTTGTGTAATTGTCATTCTCATGCAATAAGACAAACATGTAAGCAGTATA